TTGAGATAGCAATTAGTGAATTTATTAAATATAAAACATATTTTTTAATTCTAAACTTTATGATTGGTAAAAAAAATACAAAAAATTTGAAAAAAAATAAAAAAAAAAATCTATTAATTTCTAACACATTTCTTATTTTCCTCTCTTCCTCCTCCTTTATTTGCTACAGAAACCTTGAATTATTTTCTTTATTGTGTTTAAAATTAATTTAAAATATTTAACTGTTACACCATTTAATCTTTTTTTTTTTATTGAGTTATTGGTAAAAACTTTATTTATAACTAAGGGTAGCAATTTCCCACGATCCCTACGGACCTCGTGGAAATCCCTACCACGGGGACGGAGTGGGAAGGAATATTTCTCCCCACGGGACGGGGATGAAGGACATTTTCTCTTGAAATTTTACGAAGAATTTTCCCCTTCCTGTGGAGTCCTGTGGGAATCCTCGTCCTTGTAAAAAAAAAAATTTTTAATTTAATTTACTCTTCAAATTTAAACCCAAATCCAAACCAATTAAAATTAACTTATCCAATACTATTCAACGCAACCCAACCCAACCCAACCCAACCCAACCCAACCAACTCAATCCAACTTAACGAAACCCAACCCAACTCATTCTCCTAAATTTAACCATAATTCTAACTCATTTCTCCATTCTAATCACTCTCACTCTCACCTTCTCAGATCTCAATTTCTGCCTTTGGTTTGTTGCTCGTGAATCTGCCCTGCTGCTGCTTATGAATGTACTCTGCTCTTCACGAACCCTTCTACTCTGTTGTTGCTCACAATCTACTCTTCTCAAACCCTTCTGCTCGTTGCTGCTCTCATATTTGCTCTGCTCTGCTGTTGCTCACAAGTCCTTCTGCTCTTCATGAACCCTTCTGCTCTCTGCTGCTCACGAATTGCTCTGCTCTATTGCTGCTTACAAGTCCTTCTGCTCTTCACGAACCCTTTTGCGCTGTTGCTACTCACTTTGCTGGCTATTGCTCACAAACCCTTTTGCTTTGCTGCTATCGAAAACCATTTGCTCTGTAAAAGATAGATTAGAATTTGATATTTGGTGAGGAATGAATATCCTTGCGAGGAACGAGAACCGGGGACAAAATCTATTCCTCATAAAAAATTCCCGTGGGGATCCATGTTTCCGTTAATCATGGGGACGGGGACAGGGATGGGGAGGAGATCCTTGGCCCCGCAAGGCCCATTGCCATCCTTATTTATAACAGACTATTTAATGGTTAAACTTCTTTTTTTTTCTCTTTTTGTCATTTGATGGGATTGGTTATTATAAAAATATAAAATCTTTTTTTTTTTAATTGATACTTTAAATTTTGTTATTTGGCACAAAGGTAACTAAAAAATATTCACTAGTTACCAAAAAAATCTTTATAAATTTCATTTTGGTACTTAGTAAACACTATTAAAAGTTTCTTTTCTCATTTTCTTCTTTTTTTTTTAATAAAAAATAATTTTATAGTTTAAATTGTTTTTAATTATAAAATGATAACATTTGAACGAGGGATGGAGCCTCTACCCCGTCTAAGAGCACTTACAGACCCTTCAAAAAAATTTGCCCCCTCTCAATGAATCCCGACTCGGCCACTAAACTTCACCAACTTGCAAATGGGCTTTGCCAAAGCTTTAATTTAATATTTTTATCCCCTGATGGTACACAAGAATCCGTTTCCCTTTCTTTTCAAATTACACAACTAATTTTTGCTTTTAGCTTGTCAGATTCGTTAAAAAAATTTCACTACCCAAAAGCTTCTTTATGTGGAGCATTCTGAAGCCACGTTCTGAATTGCACAAGACCCACTTCTATTTATTTAAAATCTTCAAACTTTTTCTCTTCATTTTTCTCCAAATTTTATCTTGCCTTATTCGTTTTCATCCTCCACCTCTCCATCCCTCTCCATGTAGCTTTTCTCTCTCTTATCTCTGAATCCTCCACGATTTTCTTCTTCTGCTTCTCAAATCTAAACTATGTAAGAAATCCCCTTTTCTATCTCTTGACAAATCGAAGGTGATTCTCTCTTAATGACTGGAAATCTGACCATTGCCCCAAATTTGAAGCAAAATATGCATTCGAGTAGGCAGAAGAAAGGCCGAAATCCACCCCAAAATTAGGTAACAATAATGGATACACCTCAAACAAAAAATAAGATCAATTTATCTATAAAACTTTTAATTTATACAAATCACTGATTTTTTTTACGTGATATGTTAATTTTATTAAAAAAATATATAAAAAATTATTTTTAATTTTTTTTATCACAAAATCATTATCCACACTATGACTTGGACTACTGCAACGCCATGGAACTTTGAGAAATGATTTTTGTATAATTTTTTATATAATTTAAGGTATTATTAAAAATGATTAATTTTTTTAATTTATGTGAAATCCGTAATATTAAATACATTTACTTATTTAATGATATATAAAAATTATATAAAAAAATAATATAAAAAAATTATTTCTATAACATCAACTTTGAGACTTTTTTTCATGATGAACACCGACGTGGGGTCATTCTTTTCAAAACTTTCCTACGTGGCACTTTTCCATCTTTTTCTCTCAATGTCACCTCTCACCTGGTCCCATCAATATTTCTTAGATGGTGTAAGAAAAAATAAAAGAAAAAACAAAAGATAAATAATTTCAAATTACAAAATATGCCATCCAACTAATGTAATTCCTAATATAAACTATTTTGCAAGAGCGTCAGCCACCATATTTCCGGCCTTCTCGGTTGACATGAGTCACTTGA